TACAAGTACAACTGGCAGAAACTGATTGTACGACTTGCAAATTATTTTCCCTTATGCTATTCACCAGTGATTAAACATATTCCTGCTAGTTAATAATTTCAACAATTTTGGGCATACAAAATTTTTCGTTGATTAACCTGCCCGAGTAAACATAAATATCCAACTACTGGAAAAATTTAAATTACATTTTTTTGCAGTCCCTTGAAATTTGATTCAAAGAGGTTCAATGAATTAAAAAAGGAATTGGACCAATCTTTTATGTCACGTCTTGATGCTGATTTTATCTTAAATAATTGATTGATGAAAGTATCCATGTATTTTTCAAGGGTGGTGTGATTCACTGAAAAATAAATATACTTTTGTTCTGTCAATAAACCTTTTTATTTGGAATTTTGTTCTTGTTGCAAAAATGAATGATGGAATGAAATTTGAACAGGCTAAACATAAGAACCTGAATTCTTGTCTTCATTTATCTCTGTGTAAATCAAGAAAGACCTTGGTTCACACTCACATTTTCCAGAAGCCTCCAAGGCTGTTTTTCATTGCTAAAATCCTGGTTCTGTTATTTGTCCTTGGAGGACAGTTTTCCTGATTTCGGAATCCATCAAAATCCTCTTACTTCTGCCAGAGCTCTTGTGTGTGACACTTGAGCATCTTTTGCGAATATCCTTGTGTGTTTGAATTACAACAACTTTAAAATAGGGTGAGATTTCACCACGGTTGTAGCCCAACCAAATTCCTTGTTGAATTTATTTCTAAAACGTATCCGATTTAAACCTCACCATCTTTATTCCTGACAGTTCTCAACACAGGCGATTGAGGATTTTTATTTTCTTTGAATATTGTAGGCATTGATCAAGTGGCCTTACGCATCTTCTGCAAATAACGATGATTTATATTTTGTTTTGATTTCGAATTTTCTTTCAAATGATCCATTTTTTCCTTTTTTTAAAAATGGGTATTACATGGTTGAATTACTTGGTTAAAATGGTTGAATTACAAGAACTTTAAAATAGGGTGAGATTTTACCCCAGTTGTAGCCCAACCAAATTCCTTGTTGAATTTATTTGTAAAACTTATCCAATTTCAACCTCACCATCTTTATTCCTGACAGTTCTCAACACAGGCTATTAAGGATTCTTTTTTCTTTTATTTTCTTTAAATATTGTAGGCATTGATCAAGTGGCCTTGCGCATCTTTCGCAAATAACGATTATTTATTTTTTGTTTTGTTTCGAATTTTCTTTCAAATGATCCATTTTTTTGAATGGGTATTAAATGGTTGAATTACATGGTTAAAATGGTTGAATTGCAACATCTTTAAAATAGGGTGACATTTCACCCTGGTCGTAGCCCAACCAAATTCCTTGTTGAATTTATTTTGAAAACTTATCCAATTTCAACCTCACCATCTTTATTCCTGACAGTTCTCAACACAGGCTATTAAGGATTGTTTTCTTTATTTTCTTTAAATATTGTAGGCATTGATCAAGTGGCCTTGCACATCTTTCGCAAATAACGATGATTTTGTTGTTGTTTTGTTTCGAATTTTCTTTCAAATGATCCATTGTTTTTTTCTTTTTCTTTAAAAAAATTGGTACAGGCGTTGTTGCAAGCCCACGACGTTGTAGCACAGGAGGTGTACGGAGAAGAGGCGATCCGAGTGACGCCGCCGCCGAGCGCCATGGGCCCGTTTGCAAACGGCGCCTCTGGCGGCCTGTCGAGTTTCGGCAACTCTGGCGGACTTTCAGGCTCCACGTTTGGGCTGGCTGGCGGCGGTGTTGGCCTAGGAGGCGG